ACATGAATGTGGTTGTATCAGCATATCACCTTTTAAAAATAATATAAGTGTGATAATTCTTTATAAACTAATTATAATTCTGAAAAAAGTATTTTAAGTAAACGTCAACATTTCTCATTATTTAAGACTGTAAACGATGAAAATGAGTTACTCATAACACATAAGTATGGCACGCCAAATTCACAAAAAATGAGCTAAACATAGTTTCACGGTTGATAAATTAGATTTATCGGTTGTAAACTATAATTTACGGACTGTAAACTATAGTTAACAAAGTTAATCTATATTTTACATCCATAAACCATGGTTAATGCGATAATTTATGTTTCACAATTGTAAACGATACTTAACACTGAAAACAATCATTTGCAATTGCACAACGTATATTATCTGACAAATACAGTTTCACGATTTGTAAACGATAGTTTACAAACCGTTAGCTATAGTTAACGATCTGATAAATATAGTTTCGCGATTTGTGAAACTATGATTTACAACTCTAAACTATAGTTTACGATTGTAAACTATAGTTTACAAACGTGAATTTGTTTATCAACAAGATCTATTGTTAACGCTTATTATAGACAAATAAATTTAGATTATCATTCGTAAACTATAGTTAACAACCATTAAATATAGTTTTACAGATAAAAACTAGACTTAACGAATCGTTAACTATAATTTACGGTTTGTAAATTATAGTTTAGAGTCGATAAACCTAGTTTATCAAATGTGAAACTAGGTTTATATCATTTTTGTGAATTTTGCGTGCCATACATAAGGCATTGCTTTGTCTGAAAAGGTCTTCACAGTGAAGGGTATCTTAATTTAGGGTGGGGTGTCTTTACATGCCTTTCTTTTTTCAAAGAGCATGTTACAAAAATCCTATTATGAAGTTCTAAAAAAAATTGTTCTTAATTTTTACATCCTGACTCTGGAGAACACTTAACAATAAACATTATATTAGGATTCATAAAAGTAGATGGTGCGTACGTGTTTTTTTTTTTTTTGAAGTGACAAGTAGATGGAAAAAAAGATTTTTTTTCGTGAACTGAAAATATTTTTAGTTCATCATAGCTATTTTTCCTTATAACGCGATTCGATACGATATGCTCAAGAAAATATCATTTTAACGTTTAAAAGTATTCCTAATAAATACATAAAGCAGTTATCTCAAGTCGGGAAAATGATGTCGCACAAAGAAAGGGACAAATTTAATGTATATCTCGCGGAAAGAAGGTGTAACCAAAATATGTAACTATGGTTTTAACCTAGCTAATATCTATGTAAGTCAATTAAAAACAATACAATTGTAAAGGAAATAACATTTTTTCTCAAATCAGGTTCGAGCTTTGTGATGACATGCTTTATGTATAACACAACAGCTGTAAGTTATGCTGATTGATACTGAAATAAATTGAAAACAAGACTTGTAATGATAAACTTTAACTAAATGATATATTCTCTCATTTAAATGCACTTGTTTTATACAACTTTTCATTTATTTTAAATTAAATACCTTTATTTATTTCAATAAAGAAAAAAAAAACTGTCAATCTGAAATATATACTTCCAAAAACGATTTTATTGCACCTTCATTCTTCAGTTTTTTAATTATTTTTTTTTTTAGTTATCTGCTTAGAACTATGATGTTATACACTTTTTTTTCGACAAGTGACATTTTGAATAGCATTTTGTTATTTCTAAGCATCGTAGAAATGATTCATTTCTGGATTTTCAGACTTTTCTTTTTCAGAGAAATCCAACTTGTCAATATAATTATTTTCAGATGAAGAAATTTCTTTCCTGCCCTCTCCTGCTTTCAGCCCATCAATATCCTCGTAAATGTTTTCCTTTGCTTCTTCAATTTCCTTTGTTTTATTCAATTTTCTGTCAAGGCTTTGAATCTTCTGTTGTCTTTGTACGATATTAGGATTAGCCTGTTTAACCCTTTTCCAGATTAATCGTCCACAAATAGCGAATAGCAGGAATGCCAAGAAAGCTATGATACTGATCAAAATTGGTATTATTTTGGACTCTTTATTCAAATTTGGACAAATCTTTTAAGAACCTTCTTCTCAAGAACCACTGGGCTAGGAAAGCTGAAACTTATGTGGAAGCATTCTTGGGTAGTGTAGATTCTAAAGTATTAAAATCATAAAAGGAAAGGGGGTAGTGGGCACGAAAGGTATAGCAAGAGGGGAATCTGGTAAAGAACTGCATCACCCAAGTTACTCAGGTGAGCAATGTGGCCCATGGGCCTCTTGTTTGATTTATCATGTGATGTGTTCATTTTAATAAAGCTAAAACTTTTTGTATGAAAAGTATTGCTACTCAAAGAAACGGCCTGTCACAATGAATGTGCCTTCTGAAATATGAAAGCACTGACACAGTCATGGTTAAGATTAAATGTGGGTCAGATTCCAAGGTCAAGGTGGAAAGTTCAATAATAGGTACAAACGAGAAGGCCTTACAAGAAACAGACGGGTGAAATATTAAAGTCTTTGCACCAATTGTTAATATATGGCCATGGTTAATACTTCTCAAAAGTACATCAACATTCAAGATCAAAATGGCAATTATGTTTGTATGTTTTGGGAGGCCTTGTTGAATTGAATACACTTATGAAACACAATGGTCCTAATATTAACTGCTCAAAAGTTATTTCCAAGGTTAAAGTGGGTCAAATTCCAATGTTAGGGTCAAAAGGTAAAATATATATTTATAAATTCATATATCCATGCAAAGGACTTGTCACATTAACATATGAAAGCCCTAGCACAAAATTTCACGCGTTGTAGACAAGGTAAAAATTGGGTAAATTCCTCTGAAACTGGGTCATACTCCAACGTCAAGAAATATCAAATAATTTGGTACACAATGAAAGATCGTGAGAAAATACATCAATTTTGTTGAATATGAAAGCCATTGCTCCAACAAAAAAAAAGTTATGGACAATGTTAACGTTTTTGTCTACAATCAAACAGAATGGTTGACAAGTATATACCCATATTCTTTGATTACTGGGGCATAAAACATTTAAAACACATAATAAACATACCCGTAAAAACACCTTTACCAAATAAAAAATATTGAAAACATTTCAATCTAATTTTGTCTTTACGCTTTCAAATGAAAAAAATATGCTTTATTCCATTGTGTAAACAGCTGTTGAGAGACTTGTTGCTAAGGAAAATTCCTCATTGCTATTTCCATGGCAACTACTCAAACATTTTAGAATAAACTACGATACATCCCTTTTCTTAAAACTGTCTCATATGATGAATAGATGGGATCTTGTTTGAATTACAATGTAACGATGTATCACCCTCTGTCTGATCTTAAAAATACCTATATTATTACTATAACTCACATGCATAGAACAGTATAAAACATATTACATTAAATGAAAGTTTGAAAGGTTTGCATGACAACTGTGCATGTGACAATGATAAAAAATTTTAGAAAATTAAACTCTGAATTAATATGCAATACATATACAATGATGTAAATTGATCCAAATTTTAGTTTTTCCAACAATGTTTAATCCAATAAATATATACATGTATAAATGCAAGTTAATCTACCTTGAAATGTATCTGGTGTATCATGTATCATGGCAACGATTTTGAAAGTCAATTATTTTGGATTTAAAGCCATGTTAGCTATAACTGACGGTAAAATTTTGCATGCTAATCTGTTCTGAAACATTCACCTACTTGTTAAACTAAGATAATACCAAGATTCTGTAAAGAAAATGCAACATGATAAACAAAAGAAAGCTGTTAACTGCATTCCTGCTGTGCACGTTTTTGAACTGGCCATTGCCTTCATTATCTCTCGGACACATGAGCCGATTATTCCCGAGTGTAAGAGGGATGCTGATAACGAGGTCAGACGAAGATGGAATCTGAGGTAAGAAGGCTGCTTTGTCTTTGTTTGCAATATTTTTGAGTTAGCTGAAACAATGTAATATACTGTAAATATAAATGAAAATTTAGTATTAAACATTCTGAAAATAAGAACTGGTCAGAATCTTGCAAATTGCTTCATTTACATATAATGAGGCACCAGAGAGGGTTTTTTGTAATCCATATGAATAGCTAGAAAAAATTGTATTTTGGGAATGTTTACCATTTTAATGATTTTAACCCATAAAATATGGATATGTAAAGGATACCTTTATACAGATATGACACATTTTACCTGTTAGGGAATTTTAAAAATACATAAAGGATATTAAATAATGTTTTGATATTGTGATGAATTTGCAGAAAATATTATAGTTACTCTATTTCTTTTTTAAAGGACTCAAATAGATCTAGAAGTGATATTGAATTTAATAGTTCATCGTCAGAATACTTGCCAGAGCCAAATATAAGAGGAAGAGGAAATAGATCAAGACGGGGTCTTACAGCTGTATGTATATTTACCTTACAGAGAGTTGTAACCATTGAAATTTTAATTTTAACTTAGCATATTACATATTAGTGAAGAATTATTAGTTACTTTATTAAAAATTGTAACAGGCACTCAGAGGTCGAAATAGAGGGCGTGGACGTGTTGGTGCCAGGAGAGGGAGGCGTGGTGGGCATGCACACCAGGGGCCAAATAGGCACTAATTAGCCATCAGAGCCAGACAGGAGAGGCAAACACATATAGAAGTAAGTAATATTTAAACTTTTCTTCAATATTTATATCATTATCAATAAATATTAAAATACATATAATTCATATATACAAAATTACTAAATATATAATAAAATATTGTAGGAATGCATTTCATCAATGGACACTGAGGGATTAAGAACAGTCCTGAGACTTGTTTGTTCAAAGCAACCCTCATTTATGCTTGACATAATGGAAACACTTGAGGGTGGTGGACCAGAAGAACAACCAGGCTCTGAGAGCAGGACTGCACCAAGCTGGTGCATCTGCACTTACTGCAGGGAGATGCCCACTGACAGAGAAAAAGTGTGCTGTGGCAAAACAAAGCAGAATTGGCAGTCAAGGCTACCAGTAAGCATACATTTTTTTAAGAATTATACTGCATTTGAACCTGGCAGGGAAATTCAAAAATCAAAGCAAATTGTATGTTAACATAGATCTATGTATATTTTCAGGATTTCTACACAGTGGTTCTTGATGAACTTGTTCTTGAAGTTGCCATGCGGTACTACAACGATGTACTGGCTGAGCCGAGAGATGACAACATCAACAGATCTCGGAGGTATGCTGCCTACAGACAGTTCATCATGTGGGTCCATGGCAAACTTGGGGCAGGCAACAGAAAAGTCATCCCTAGCTGTTGTGTAAGGCGGATCAGAGACACTTTCCCAGAACCATCGGGACAATATGTTGGGTATCTGGAAGGTGTAATGGACTAGGAGGAAAAGATGCTAATCACCAGTTTTCTCACTGAACCTGGATTTTTTTTCTGCTACAAGCTGAGATGTTGGTGGTGGTGGGATTGGTGCCAGAACTGAAGAGATCCTCCTAGGGTCATCAGCCTCGAGAATAACTGGTCTGTTCATACCAATCCCATCCAACAGTCTATTCTCCAGGCATTTCCTCATGAGGTCCTCTGTATATGGGTAGCTTTTGGACTTTTTCACATCATAAGTTGCCCATCTCCCACTCTTCTTACTGTAGTACATCTGGTGTCTACAATATTTTATTAAAACAATTATATTTATAGAAAACCTTTCACTTTGTAATGTTATAAATAATTGCTATGATAACACACAGTTATAACAATAAATGGAGATAAATACCTCAAGGATCCATCTTTATTCTTTAAGGTATCTCTGTTACAGTTACAGTTGTGATCTAGAGCTGCTATTATGTTTCTTCCCTTGTACACTGGTGGTGTGTAAGAATGTCTTTTAGAGGAATATTTCAGAATAAGATTCTGAAAATTCTCTAAGACAGCTGTACTCCTATGTAAAAACAATAACGTTTTTAAAAGCTAATAGGTATGCAATTTGTAAGGCACACAACCAAATATAAAAGTTAAAAACAAACAAACCTGCAATTCAAATAATAAGGGATTTTTTTCAGGAGTCTTTTATCTTTAGCAATGTCCCTTACAGCAACATGGGCTGGTGATCCAGCCTCTAACCACCCCTTTTCACGTTCTTCTGTCAGTGGTCCATGCATGCAGGAACTTTTGGAACCAATTCGATATGGTAATATCCACTCATGTTGATTTACAACATGGTGAATAACACCCAACCACATACCCTACAAATAAAAAAAATCTCCACTGCAAAATTCAAATTTAAAATGCTTATTTGGATTAAAATTTATCTCTTGTAATTTTCAATCCATACTTACAATAAATTCATCCTCTGTCTCTGCTGTGTCTGCACAAAACCAAAAGTGGTTGACAATTTCTCTTGTGCACTGTAGTAAGGGGCGCTTTGATTTCTCTTGTCCAGCCTTTGAAGAAATTTTAAACATGATTTAAACAGTGAAACAAACAAGACTTTCTCTATTTTATCATAGGTATATGTATTAAATGGTTTGCTTACCTGAATGATTTTCTTTCCCAGATTTTTACAGCCATGCCAAATATCAAAAGAATGTTTGATATGTGGATATTCTCTCTCTGTAACAAACTTGTAAAATGGCTTTATCATTTTAATTTAATTTCTTAACTAAAGTTTGTAAGTCAATAATGGATAAAAGATATCAACTTACTCATCAGTGCTTCAACTTGAACATGGGCATCTGTAACAATCTCTGAAATTATTAGGCCTTTGTCAAGAAGAAATTGTAATCCTCTCTGAAAACAGTACTGCGCTCTTCCCCCCTGTCATGCGTTTATCCATGACAACAATATGGAGAATTTTGTGTGTGGTGTTTTCCATAAATGTGTAGGTGCAGAACTGGGCTGAGTGGCCTGGACTATCCATGCGCCCATCCCCTATAACAAGATTAAAGTTACATTAACGGTTTTATCAATATGTTACTATACCATTCATGTTTGATGAATACTTAAGTGTACTAAATATGCTTATTGTATACCTAAAATCACCAGATTCTTCCCTTGAAATTCATTCATGATTTCATTTTGATGAATTTCCCATTTCTGGTCGATGCTTGGCAATGCATAAGTCCGTTGCATCTTGCAAAATGAAGTCTGTGAAGGGAAAGGAAGCTTCAGAAACTTTGCAAACATTGCCATTTTTTGGAAGTTGTTCCCGGAAGCTATTAAGGCAGCCGATATCAAAACGTCAGTGCTATGCAGGCCTCTGTTCAAAAGGGGTTGTGAACTCCATTTGTTTGCAGTATGCCCTTTCCCACAAACCTGAAAACAGCCATGTAAAAAAATAATTTTGAAATTTTACAATGAAAGCTTTAATAAAAATTTAATACTTGAAATTTTATTTACAATTGAAAAAAAAATGAAATTCCATCCTTTATACTAACCCACTTAAGGTAGACTGCAGAGGATACTGTTTGCAGATTCATTTGCACAATGTCGCCACATCCTTTAACTTTGCAAATGGTGGGCACTGTTGTCCTCGCAAGCTCCATTAATTGCTGAGTATTGACCAAGACAGGATGATCCTCAAGTAGTGTCCCGATTTCATCATTGGTTCTCAGTCTCTTAATGTTGGGACCAAGTTCTACTTCTTGTTCAGTGTCTTGAATGTTATCTTCATCTTCCTCATCCTCTGATTCACTGGGCAAAATTCCATGATCCAGTCTACAGATATAGCAAGTCATACATTTAATGAAAACCATTGCATTAATTATTTTTGCAAAAAATAATATGAATTCTTTTTAATATTTTAATCAATTATCTGTATTGGGAAAGTGTCAGGCTCACCTCAGTGAAAGATGAAAACTTGGTTCATAGTCATCATCCACTGCATCATCTATGTCATCTTGCACCTCAGATGAATACACAGTGAGACTGAAAAAAAATGATATACAATGCAAGTTCATTTTAATTTATTGAAAAATAATTTCATATGCTTCATTCAATTCACTCACTCAAAAGGATCCAAGAAACTGCTTGAAAATGGGCGACATGAAATTTTCCTACTACTACTTGTGGCACCAACAGAATCAATATCCTCAATTCCAGATATTTCACTCTCCTCTCTAAAAATATTAATTGCTCTTATTTGAAGATTTTTAAAATCATATTTGCAAAATAAATATCTTTTGTGCATCAATGAAGAAAATTTAAATTTTATTGTACATACCTTTTCTTAAATTCATCTGTCGATAAAATAGAAATTTCAGATTCTGAATCTCTCCTAGCGATTTTACATGGAGCAGGTGTTGAAGTGCCATGTGGAACAAATTTCCCTCTATCATTAGTCTTAAATGTTGTCTGATTACCTGAGTTTTTCTCAGCATAACTTTATTAAAAATATTAAAATATCTAAATTAAATATTAGAATTACAAAATGATGGAATTTTATGCATTTAAAGTATTTTGTATTCACAATGAGTACATAAATTAATTTATCTGGTTTTTTTTTCGAAACTATTTTGATATTTCGTAAAATTTCCCTTCTTGGGGCCCCCCTGTGAACAGGACGAAACCTAAATGTTTACACCACAAGATACACAAAATAACAGTCATCTCTAATATTCTGATGAATTAAACATTCTTTTGTTTTCATATTTATTACTCTTAATCATCAAAGTAATATAAAATGATTAAATAATCTTTGTAAAAAAAAGCGTAGAAATACACGTACCAGTCCAGTAATACTTTCGCCATTTCAGCATTATTCTCGATGGCAAACTGGTTTTTTAATTCATCCCATCGCTCAATCTGATCCCCGATTGAAATTCTGCACTTGTTCACGGTTACATTTCTCTCCTTTTTGCGTCTTTTTCTCTCTGAATCGGTCAATTTTACTTTCGGACCACGCTTTCCCGACATTGTGATGATTGTTTACAAGATTGGCACATGCGCAATTAGGGCATTCCGAAGTAGTGACCCCAGGGGTCACTGAATATCGAGATAACGACTTCGGAATTAGTGGCTGGCAGCCAGTAATTCAGATCTTACATTTTATTACCGGTTTAATGGTTTTGGAGGCAAATTATCACGAAAATTAATTGTTACAATAGAAAGGAAAAGCTATGCACGTAATCAGCTGTGTTTACCCCAATTTTATTTTTGGTACCGTGAGTTATAGCTAACATGGCTTTAAGAAAAAACACAACTTTTTTTATTATTATTTTTTCGTTAAGTTCAAATACACATTATAATTGATTGAGATGAAAATCTTTCTCTTCATTTTTCTTTAACTTATGCTCAGGGGGGAGGGGGGGGGTCATATTTAGCGATGTGTGGTTACCATGGTAACAGCACCCCCAATTAAATATTTTTGGCTTAATTTCAAGAAAGGGTGTTGAATAAGTAATAAATATAAAATTTGATAAAAATCGGTGACATCACCTTTCCATCCATTATTGAGAAATTTTGATTCTTAATTTTAAAAAAAATAATTATGAAAATAAAACACATATAAGTGAATATTTTTAAACTTGTGGTTTAAATTTTCTTAAATCCAGTCACAACTGTGGAGAACATGTTAATTAATCATATTTATATAAGAAATTGAAACGAAAAAGCCAAATTTTAGAGAAATTATTTTTTTTTTAATTTTAGTCAATCCCGATCAAAAAAAAACCCGATCCCAACAATAATTGTACAATTGTTGAAAATAATTAATATTTCTCTAAGAACAATTGTCTGATTATGTGTAATAAGGGTTAAAACATTATTGAACTTGACAATAAAATAGATTTCTTCGCTGTAAATACATGAAGAGGCAATGAATTAGTACTTTATTCATTTTGTGTTAATTTTGAGGTCAACTAATTTTTACTGGCATCAGTTTGATTTTGATCGCGTGAGGTCCAACTATTAAAAAAATAATTTCTCTAAAATTTCTCAATTTCTTTTCAATTTCTTTTTAAAATATAATTGACAAACATGTTTTCCTGAGTCGTGACTAGTTACAACCATAGGTTTAAATAATATTCACAAATACGAGGGGCTATCAAAAAATCGCACCGTCAAATTAAAATCGCTTTAGGTACATCAATGAATTTTAAAATATTTAGTTATCATCATCTTTTCTATATATAAAATTAACAACAAATCATCAATTCTATTTTTAAATACACAGTAAATTAGTTAAATTTTTGTAAGCAATGGTATGTCAAGCCAGCACAACATCGAAAACGACGTTTTTTCCACCTAAGTGCAAGTAAGATAAGCTATTTTGATATGAACATTTGACATCCAAAATTTGCGTTAATTCAGGTATGTGTCGGGACTCTATTGTGTCATAAAATATGAAATTTTTACCTCATTCTGGAAGTTCTATTAAATTTCATTGTAAATTTTACATGGAGTATCCAAACAAATATTGCCTTGAAAATGACGTCAAAGGGGGGGGGGGGGGCATTTTTCAACATTCTATAAAGTTTTACCCTTGAAAAACTGGTATACACCTAGGAAATTTTTTAACTGGCTATGGAGAAAAAAATTGGATCCAGATTACTTGTTTTTTTATCTCCAAAATAGATTCAGAGAGAAAAAGGATGCAAAGTTAATGTCGAATTGTAGTCAAGATTTCAAAAATCTATCACGTCAAATAAAGACGTTTGATCATGTGTTTAATAGCTATACTGAACTCCCAGAAAATATGCTGGTACAGATAAGTGAGAAGGTCTCCCAATGTATATTCGCAATAACATATGCACTGAAAGATGCTGTCCATGACATTGTTAAGCCACAAAACGAAGACAGGTTGAAATCCTTATTCAGCTCTAGGGAATCTCCTCAAAATAAGTGAGCAAGGTTGAAGAAGCGGACATTGAAAAATATTGACGTTGTCGGACGTCATGAAATTTAGCGGCGACGTCGCTGGTTGATCATATAATGTCGTCTTTATTTAATAATAATTTGGGAAACAATGTACGTATCAAGCTAAATTTTCAACATTTCTTTATTTTTCGTTGTTTTATGTTCCTTATAAATTTTGTAAGCTCAGACAACATAGTAGTACCGCTATTGATTTTATAGTCTCAGTGCACGAATTTATTGATAACCCCTCGTAATGTGTTTTACATTAAATGTATTATATTTAGCATATACGATATTTGGCGGAAATTGCTTTTTGAAGGAGTTTGCGTGGATTTGATTTAAAGCATTTTTTTCTTTTTCTTATTTATGTATATACATGTATTTGCAAGACATTTGGCGTTGTACCTGAATATGCGGAAGTTTTTTTCCGCCAAAGCGCTAAAAAGAATACACAGCCAAACTTAAATAAAAATTAAGAAGTTTAGCCAGCCTTTCTTTACGTATTTTATTAAATATTCATATAATGATGATATCATTAACAGCAAACTTTTAACTCAAACACAGCTTCATTGGATATATTTTTTTTATCATTTCATTTGAAAAAATACAAAAAAAAACTCATATAAAATGATTGGGAGCTAATATCGGCTTTTCAATGCTGAAACCATTGTTTAAAAAGGATGACTCAAAGATCTATAAAATAAAACGTTGGTGTGGCATTCAATCTTAAATAAAATAATAAAAGCTATACGAGGGGTGATCAAAAAGTTCGAGAACTAATTGAGTACCTTCCAAAAAAAGAAATGATATAATGTTTCAGTGTTGTAAATGTTTTAAAGAAGTCCTCTCCAATCTTAATGCTCATCTGCAACAATTTTTCCATGCGCGGATCACATGATATAGGCGGTCAGGTGACATGCTTTTTTTCGTTCTGTCACAGAAGCTTACAATTTTTTCCAACTCTTATATTTCTTACCATGCAGGTCATTTTTTCCACAAAAAAAAAAAAAAAAGAAAAAAAGAAAAGAAAAAAAAATCGACTTTTCAAAATGGCCAAAACTCTTAAATAGTATTTGTGGATAATATCCTTTAGCAGAATGATCATGATTACCATCAAAACCCAAATTCTCTGTCTTTGAGCGTCGTTTATTTCATGTGGATAAAGTATGGGTACCTTCACTTAATCATAATCTGATATGTTTAAAATCTAAAGTAAACGATATGTTAGGGATTTGATAATCAAATTTATTGTAAAGATATTCAATTATTTTTCTAAGTGTAAGTTGGCAATCTTACATATCAAACTGCTTAACAACGGATACGTCTATCTACTAGTTTGCTTTCACTGAGCAACAGAACAGACATCATTTCTAAACATCTTCTTTCATTCAATTAAACAACCAATCCATTTAATGACAAAACACCTGGCAAGTCTTTTGTCTTCATAAACCGTATACAAATTATTATAAACTTCTACATTGCAAGATATGGGTCTAAAATCATAATGATAAAACATTTTACCTTTAACATTACGTCCATTTTTCAACGTAAAAAAAAATTGCATAAAAATTATCTAATCTGTGTCCCTGGACAAACCCTCATCACAATTACATGTAGAATATACATTTGAAGAAGTCAACAGTTGTTAACTAAAAATTACTACAAAATTAATCAAAATACACTTTTTTGAGTAAATAAATATCCTCTATTTCCTCTATAATCCATATATAGAGAGACTATACACATGTTTATATCACACCCTATTTACACTCTGTTTTATCGTCCTTAAAGGATAATTTCTTGATTGACTAAAGTCAATAATAATTTGTAATAAATTCCAAATATTTGATTTTTGTGACTTGCCGTTTTTTACTTTGTGCAACAAACAAATTTCCATTTTTGTCTGCACAAAGTCCCCAAGGAGAATCCAGTCCACATTTTATATAACGAAGAAACTGTCCATCTTGGTCTATTAAATGGATGCAATGATTGTTAAAATCAGCGATAAGGATGTTACTTTGGTTGTCTGAGGCGATTCCTCGTGGATCGAATGGATTCTGCTTCAAAAGAGGGTCATTTCCCATGTATCTATATCTTAATTTCCCTGCCTGATTGACGACCACGACTACTCTAACGCCACTATCTGTTACGCAGATATCAAGGTTCCTATTCTCATTGATGTACCTGTAACCCTCAGTTGAATAGAGAGAATTTCCATCATCGTCGAACTGAATCGACTGTTTCTCTTCAGAGCCATGGTAGCGAACAACCTTAGATTGCCTTCCATCAATTCTCATTAGCATAACCAATAGATGACCAGCGGCGGTACTACAGATATCTCGCGGTTCCCAAGTCTTTAATTTTATCACCTCCTTAATCTTTGAATTCTTTGCTAAGTTCAAAGATCTCTCATTTATATCAGAATAAACTAGTTCTCCATTTTGGGTTACCGCTATGTCCCATGGCATTTTCCCCGATTTTGTTCTAATTGAATTAATTAGAAATCTCTCCTTCATGTTGAAAAGTTTTATGGCGTTATCATTTCCACTTGTCCAGATTTCTTCATCACTGAGGCTTGCCAAATTGAAAAGGGATTTAAAGCCAGTATCAATACTGGTTACAATCTTAGGTTCTTCAAGTAGCTTGATGACTAAATGGGCAGATCTGCCTCTTTGCTGTGCTGTCATTTTCGTGTGCGTATTTTCTTTTAGAGTAAGAGATAAAGTTGAAAGGCTTCCAAACTGTTTACGTGAATTTTCAAATTGAAATTCTAATGGAATGAAATTGGGAAAAGTTGCATTCAGAGTATGTGGAATTTTTCTGAATTCTGCAATTTTTGAATTGAATTGAAGAACAAGTGATATATCATTTGATTGCAATAACTCGTCAGATTCTCTGATTTCAAGTGCAACACCCGAGCACTTTTGACTTATGTCATCTGTTTGTTTCTTTAATGCAGTTTGGTGTTTCAATTTCATATTTTCAACTTCACTTTTAAAGTTATTGACAACTTTATTAAAATTTATGTGAAAGTCTTCCTCGTGTTTTTTTATGGAGGTTAAGACATCTGCATATTTCTCATTAAGCTGATTCTTTGCTTTTTGAACTTGTGATACGAGTTCCTGATAAACAGGGTAAATGCTTTCTTTCATTTCTTCGTTGACCTTTTGTATTTCCTTTTTTCTATCATTATATAGTGATAAAATTTGAAGGATTTTATGACCTAAATGAAATTCAGATGCAACACAGGCACTGCAAATTGGTTTTTCACATGATTTACAATACATTTGGCACTGTTCTTGGCCGTGAGTTATGCAAGTAGGATATAGTGGAGTTGATTTTCTTTCTTTGAAGTCGACAATTTTATGAGGTTTGGAGAGATCTGCAGAACAGTGTTCTCCCAAACATGCCGAACACAGACTGATAAGACACGCATTGCAATACATTTGGACCGCGGCAACTTTACATAGGTCACATCGCACCACATCTTTTCCACTTTTGCGAGGGTCCATTACTGTTTAACTAAAAAAATCAATATTTATATAAATTATACAGCAACTCTGAAATAGTATATCAATTTTTCTCTCTCCATTTTCTCTCTGATTGCTAATTAATAATGGTAAATACAGTCCTGAAACGTTCTACTTTCCAACCTGAAGAAAGCTAAACGAACCATAAACGAATGCATAACGAACGCAGAGCGAACTGTGAGTGACCGATATGTTAACACTGAACGCAACTGAACGCAAGATAAACGATTTATTCGGAATGCCTCTGGTCCTTGCATTGAAATTATTCTATTATAATTTCAGGTGATAAAATATAAATAAGCAATAGATAAATAGATAAATAATAAAATCATTTTTTTTTCTGCACATACGTATGATAATTTTAATCGACATTTTAATAACACGATTTTTATTGCCGTAAGACATGTTTAATTGTTACTGAACGCGTGTAGTATAAATATAAAATAAATCCACTGAAAAGTAAAGATGCTTATTCCTTTAACTGATAAAATAATGTGGACTTGAGAAGATAAAACTAATACTCATAGAATGAATTTATTACATTGTATCACTGTTGAAACAACAATATTTCCGTGCCAAGGAGACTCCGTGTAAAATAACGGATTTTGTTTTAATTTACAAAATTAATTTATGTTGAGGTATTGAATAAATACACTTGTCTTTTAAAATTATAATTAAGGAATGACTCTAATTCTTGGCCAGATTATCGAGTATAATATGGTTTGGGTCAGTTTACGCTTTATAATCCGCGAAGCGGATTATAAAAAAGCGTAAACTGACCCAAACCATATTATACTCGATAATCTGGCCAAGAATTAGAGTCATTCCTTATAATTTAATTTTAAAATAATTAAACAACTGGGGATGTAAAATTGTGTTGTTTTTATTAGTTCAAATTTACCGCGCAATAATACAACCGTAGTAACGGAAGTGATGGGAAGCAAGGGGAGGTAAAAACTGATACATAGATCTAGCAGCCATGATGCTTGTTTACATGAGGTAAGATCGAGCAACTGTTTGAAGTTAAAGGTACATTCATTAAATCTGGAATTTTTCATGAATCCGAAGGACTGGAAATGAGGGGATTGATGGATACAGATGATTCAGCTGGTTGTCAAGGGGGTGTGTCCCCATACCAAACCAGATTATACAAAATGTTATGCGTTCCTTTTTGGAAATCAACCAATGAGAGACAAGAATACAAACAGAATTAAATTATTGCGAAATATTATATATTTATGTGTCATTATTATTTTTAATGATTATTTTACAAACTTCTTCATATATAATTATGTAGACATTTCCCGACCGTGATAATACTGGGACAAAATGATGAAAAGAGGCATTCAAATTATTTGTAATAAATTAGATTCTCAAAAACTAAATAAGTAATAATATGTTGACGGTACGACCGTTAGAGCGAGCGCAAACTCTTATATTGTTTTGATTTAGATCGGGCTCGTCAAACCGCACGTGACATTTGGTGCGTCTAGACTCTGACGTCACATGAGGTAAGTAAGTCGCAATATGCCGAGAAAAAGCCTGAACGGTGCTGAAAGTTAATAAAGAACGTTTCGTTTTTTATTTATTTTCAATATATATCCTTTAAATCAAAGCGAGTAAACTTTTTGTTGAACATTTGCCGTGATTCTCGCGAGAACGTAGCTAAAACAAGTGATGCATTGTGGGTCCAAATTACTGCATCAAAAAATTCTTTCGAATGAATGTGCAGTAGTCCGAATTTTCTCTTCGCACAGGCCTTGCTTTAAGAGCTCGCTATGCGAGCGGCGCTTCGCGCTGCCTCGCTGTGCTCGCTATTATGTCATAATTTTCATTGAACAGACAAATGTGTGTGTGTTAGGGAGGGTGAAGGATGGGAGAGGGTGTGTGTGTGTGAGGGTGTGTGTGTGAGGGTGTGTGTGTATCAGGGTGAGAGAGACAGAGAGAGAGAAAAAGAGAGAGCTATAGAGAGAGAACCCGGGATGCTTACATTATGTGGAAATGAAGTTGTGATACGACCAAAATTCCCCAGAGCTATATTGACATTTGACCTCTTCTTTCTTCATTCAACGACATACCAATTGTTAAGCAATATTTACAGTACTAAGTTTTATAGTAACTGTTGTGAAATAACTTCTCGCCTTCATTAAATTACATGCTTCAAATTATTTTACGTATAGCATAAGCAAATCAAATTTCCCCACAAACATTTTATTACGAGTCACACAACCGAAAAACGACGCCTTTCGGAACACTCCAAAATAAATATTTTTTAGCGGAAAAAAGATATGGGATGTTGCTCTGGCAGTTCATAACATTATAATGATAAAACAAAAATGTGTATTTTCTCTTTATGGTTAAATAAAACCCAGTTTTTCTATAGGAAATATATATTGAAAGTTTATCCCCCCCCCCCCCCACAAACACACTTAATTTCGGTTGCAGTATTGCTAAATAAGGTTAATTTAGTGTTTGAGTAAAAATATTTATGAAGTATTAAAAAGAAGTTGGACCCTCATTCCTCAACTCATGTAAGAGAGAGAGAGAGAGAGAGAGAGAGAGAGAGAGAGAGAGAGAGAGAGAGAGAGAGAGAGAGAGAGAGAGAGAGAGACTTTTCTCATTATTTTTTTTCTAAATATTCCAGGCAGTAAAAGTAATCATTTTTTAAATAATCAAATCAAGTTGACTCTAATCATCGGCTTTTATTTTCCTTCTTCAAGTTAGCACGGTTCACACTAAGTCCGCCTGCTTGTCCTCGCAATCAAAATCATTCGACACAGTGGAGGCGTGGAAAGCTCACATGTCAAATGCAGAGTCATGTAGCATTTTTCAAGAAGTTTTAACATTTTTTCCCAACATTTCTAGGTATGATTTACAAATTTCTGAAGAAAAAATAATAATGAAATATTTGGAATACAATGTATATACTTGGAAGGATTAAATTTGCAATTGGATTTAAACATACTCTCTGCCAATTTAAAATAAAAATGCACTTGTTTATTTTGAAATACTATAGGTTGATGACTGTTTTGATGTTTGTTTTATGACAATTTTTTTTATTGTTACAATACACATAAAATATTGATTAGAATTAAAAATATACTGAAAATACTCACTCAGAATTCAATTTCGGGAGAAAAGGTGTCGGCGTTGGGGGGGGGGGGTCATCATACCCAATTTGCAAACATATATTTAGTTACAGTGAAGGAAGGAATGGAATTTCTCCTCACTAATAAATATACTTTATATACGTAAGGTTGAAAAAATTGTAATGTGTTAGATTAAAAAAACACACACACACACACACTATCAATATAGTTCGCTCTTAAGTTATTTTATTTACTGAATAGCAGCCAATATACTGTTCATAACTCTCAGAACTAGTTCTAACATGTTTTCGAGAATTATTTTAAATACGCGTTAAATAATGTTTTTCAATAGTTGCTGCATTTGGTAAATCAAAAAACTTTGACTTTTACCTATCCATTACCGATTTTTCTGTTTTGTCTTTTACATAGCCACAATTATAATTATTGTGTAATTTTAACTCTTTGTAAATATTGTATGGCTTCTTATATTTTACGTATGGGAGAGAACTATCTTAGTTTTATTGTTAGGAACTAGTGACCAATCACTTTTACATGTTGTCAATAAGATATGTTTAAAACAACAAAATGTTGCAGTGCGTGAATTATTTGTACATTGCCCTAATTTAAATTTAATATTTAAGCATCTTTCTACATACAAGTAGGTATATGCTTATAAAAACATTTATTTTATAGAGAAATTTCATGAATAGAGTAACAGCTAAGATATAATACTACAAATAAAATTATCTTAGATAATTTTTGCCATGAAATAACAATTCTTCAAACACGATAGTCGCCCGCGTGGCGCAGTGGTTAGAGCGTCTGCGCTAGAGTCGCGAGGTAAAGAGTCATTCCTTACGTCGCGGGTTCGAATCCCACTGTGGGACGTGGAGACCGGTTCTTCGGATGAGATCGTATAAACCGAGGCCCCGTGTCGCAGTAGGTGCTGGCACGAAAAAGATCCCTCACTGCTCAAAGGCCCTGAGTGCCGAGCATAGGACAAAATTTGTAGCCCTCCATCGGCAAGTGGTAGCGTCTTCATATGAGTGAAAAATTCTCGAGAGGGAC